TCCTCCAGATTTGAGAGGTTGGAAGAAGTTGGACCCGAGTTTTATTTCTTTGTCTATTTTAGTAGGGGGTTCCCCTCCCAACCAAAAAGAAAAGGGTGAGAAAGGGCACCTAGCTGGGGGACCTAGCCAAGTAAGTGGGTGACCCAAAGTACATGGATTCCAACGTTGGCTCAATCCGCCTAAGTATCAATTGGGTGGGTACGTTTTGAATGCGCCACACATTGCCCCTAGCGATCTGAACCCGTTGTCAGGCCAACGCACGACCGGAAGGCCGACACCAGACACCCAGTTGATTTCATGGGACAAAAGGGTACTTCTTTCTGGGCAGTTGATTTTAAACTCACTTGCCCAAAGGACCTAGAAATACAAGGTTAACCTTTTGGGACCTTTACAAAAAATGGACCAAAAAGGGGAAACCAAAAGGTCAAAAGGTCGGCTTGGGGCAGTTGATTTTAAAGGGAAGCACCTCCACAAAACGGGAAAGAAGGGGCACCACTCTGTGGCTGGGGATCTTGACATGCTGAGGCCGATTTCAAATCCCAAACCTCTCAGAAGCCGTTCTTAGAACCTTCTGCTCGGTGTCGAACCTTTACTTCCAAATGCTTAAGCCCCCTGAAAAAATATATCCAGTAGTGATAGATTCCCTTTAAAACTAGCAAGGGAAAATACACAAAATGTTAAGCAAATGGATGTTTATCGGGGTAAGGGGGGGTCCGATTCTGTCCCTGTTTGCCCCACCAACCCCAGCCGTCCCGTGCTGAGAACCTAAGCCAGGCTGTGCGAAGTGCCTCGCCAGGTCCACTTACCACCACCCCCCCTAGCATTTTCGGTAGGACTCCATGTTCACCTATGCATGTGGGGGGGACCTCCGGGGAGGTCCCCAAGGCAATTTTTGGAGAACGCGAAGACAAAATGGAACCATAAATGAAAAATAAAGCCCAGGGGTCACCCCCTCCCCCCATTTCATGCTCAAGGGTCGAACGATTCATTCCATGCATAAACGTTCAACCCGCTTAGTAAGGAGGTCAGAACAATTCTGAGGGAACTGACCCCCAATTATAGCTCCTTACCTAGGTTGAAGATCCAAGTAGATGATGGCAAAGGGCCGAACGGGGGTCTTTACAAACAAAAACCTCCAAAACCCGCTGGTTTCCCTTTCAAAGACCAACCTAACGTGGAAGCCTCCTACCGCAAGGAAGGCCCCCCTCCCCTGGTTCGCTCACCCTCTTCCCCGCTCCGTCCGCTCCATCCGCTCCCCATGAGGCTGCAACCCCGACTTCCCGGGCGCCTCAGTCGTTGCTGCAACTCACTTGCCAGGACCCAGAAACCAAATGCTGGGACCTTAACCAAAAAAACTGGAACAGACAAGGTCGGATTGGACAAATGAGCTCTTGAGACGCCGGGTGTTGTTTGTTGTACATACCCGAGAAGCTCCGGTGTGTTGGGGCCAAAATGGTTAAAACCGAAAGTTCATATCTGGTCAAGTGAGGCGAGTTTTCCCCGACGGCCAAAAAATACGAACTTTAATTAGGTTAGAGCCAAAATATGTTTCCAATAGAGAGGATAGAATAAGGGTACCAACTCTTTTCTGTGGTCTGTTTTAGTAGGGGAACCCTCCCAACCAAAAAGTCGGTAGAGAAGGGCATCTAGCTGGGGGACCAAGCCACTCAGAGAAAAAAAACAAGCAAAATGCCAAGAACTTCCCAGGCGCCGAGTCATGAAGCCATCGATCAAGCTTCTTGTTCGCGAACCAAGTGCTTCCAGGCAAGCCACTATGGTAGGTAACAGGGGAACCCCTTAAAAAACCGAGAATACCTAGTACAGTGGCAGCTGGAACCACTGAGTAAGCTTTCTAGCACCCTTACATTGCTGAAAAGAAAGGGTTTGCAACCAACTGGTTGCACAGTTTTACAGATCTCTGCCAAGGTAGGTAGTTGTTTGGGGTAGTCGTTTGGATAGCGTGAAGCCCCCCAAAGACGCTGACGTTCCAATCTTACGAGTTGAGGATGCCAGAATCTAAAGAGCCTGCCCAAATCGAAATCAGTTTCAAGTATCAATTTTGGAGTTATGGAGGTTATGTACCACTTTTGTAAGGGACATGCGTTAATTACAAGCATAGAATGGTGGTCGCCACTTTGCCAAGGTTGGTACTGACATTGATGTTCACAGTCACTCTTCTTTCAGGTGCTTAGATCAACCTCTCTGGTTGCTGCAAGGACCTCTCTGCAGAAAGTTGAGCACTTTGTGTGGGTCCAATGGGCAATGCGACCTGTTTCAACAAGTTAAAGTTCAAAGATCCAGCCAAATACCCATAAAGATATGGCTTTGTCTTTCTCAGAGGGCACCCCTGTTGCAAATGGAAGCCAAAAGTGAAACCACCAACTTTTGAGACAAAACCACGGCACGGTAGCACAGGCGCCGTGGTTTCTCCCTGTGCTTTCCTTTTTCGAAGGAGATAAACTGGGACAAACGAGTGGGTGGCTTGTCTTTTTTTGTAAATGAAAAGAAGGGTGGCAAGGAGAAACCCCAGGCAATTCGCAGGACTCCTTTTGTCTCACTTGAGTGCATTGGCCAAACAAAAATCAGAACTTATTTGCCACTCAACTGGTCTCAAGCGCAACTCAGGGAGTGAGCGTAGAGGGGCGTTCCCCTTCGGCTTGCTGAAATCTTGGGTTGGGAATGCCACATCTGAGTCCCATGCCGAAAGGGAATTGCTGGACGGCATGAATGCCTGCCAGGATGCCATGGGTTCATGTCAATTGTGAATGCTTGAAACCTGAGGGGTGGAAGAGGTGCCTGCTGATAATCGCATACACTTCATGCAGTTGAGGAGTCTTTGACGGCACGTCCGCCCCAGCCATGGTCCAAAAACCATGCGAAGAGCTTCCCACCTCCGGCTCTTTTCCCCAGACCCGGGATGTTACATGGGGAAAAAACAAGTTTTAGAGGTCACTATGTTATTGATTTCCTGAATTTCACTCGGAGGTTGCTGACTCCAAGTGGCAAGGGCACGGCCCCAAGCCGGGAGCTTGCAACACCCAAAGGGTCCACCCGCGCGAGCCGGGCATCCAACGTGCTGAGCTTCACTGAGTGCTTGGGTTCCAAGGCCTCCCCAAATCATAACGAATGGCTTTGAGCGGGATTTCTGGTTGATGTTGATTAGGGGGTGTTGATAGTTTGTTGATTCTTGGGGCTCTATTGGATGCGTTTTTGACTTCCATAGGCTCGGGGGATTGTTCCGCAAATGGTGCCAACACGCCCTGGAACCACTTGGCAGCCAGCATCGCTTTGCGCCTTTTTGTTGGTGCAAAAAGAAATGCAAATGTCCTAAATCCCAAAAATTGGAATCAATTTGTTGTGTTCCATGTTGTCCAGGCCTTGCAAATTAGCATGAAACCCTTGACAAGGGGCAACGGATGGCGTGGTTTCCATGGGAAGTAAGGATCAACCTGGGCCATCTCTATGACTTTGCCTTGCTTAGAGCCTGATACGGTGGATGGACGAATTCCGTTCGCACCATGGTTGAAACCATTGTTTGTTGGAATTTACAAACGAATCTTCGTTCCGGGCTTTCTTTGGCGGTGCAGAATTTCGTGCATCCACAGTACAGAAAGTCATACTGTGGATGGACGAAATCCTGCACCAAACAAAGCCTGGAATGTTGATTCCCCTGTAAATACCAAAAGACAATGGCTTCCCATGGTTTCAAAGTGGTGCTGCGAGTATTTGGAGACTTCGGATTCGGATCGATGCTTGTGGGGGGAAAACCCATGGGTTTCGTTTGCAGCCTGACACCCCGCTGAAGGGGACCCGTCGACAAGAATAGGCCGTCATTGGCTTGGGGCAGCTTCCAAAAGCATTGATAGTCGATGCCCACCAAAGGGTCAATTCAAACTCAGAAGATATAAATAATCAATATATGATTGATTTGTTGTACATAAATATATACCTATTTGTATATATGTATATATTTAAGCTGGTGCAAATCCACGAGGCTTATCAACCCATTCTGGAATGGGAAGGCCACCAGAAAACAAAAATCAGCGGGGCTTTCTCCATCTGAGCTGCCTCCGGCGAGCGGCAGCGGATCTGAGGCCTCAGTTTTGTCCGCTTCGGGCCGAAGGACCCGGCGATGGTCTTCAAACGGTCCGTTGGTTTCTGGTTTGGGTCATGCCCTACCCTCTACTCCAAATACCCGCTTTTTTCAGGGTATTTTTTTGGAAAACCTGGTTTTCCGTGGTAAATACCTCCTTTTCTTAGTAAAGGGTCGACAAATCATACCAACTGGAAAAACGTGGGCATTGGGTGCAGGGGGTAGGAATCCTTTTTGGACTTCTTGGTTTCTTAGGGCCAGCATCCCTAACCTCAAGTCAAGGGGAATCAAACAAAAATCCGGGATCCTTACCAGGAAAAATGGCCATCCACCTCAAGTAAAGGCCTGGGTCATCCAATCCTTGTGGCCATATGGGCCATCCCTGACCCCAAGGAAGGGGCTGTGGCTCTCAAAAAACCGGAAATTTCCAAAATGGCTTGACCTAGTAACTAGGCTGGACTTAGGACCCCAGCAAAAAATCTCCTTTTTGCCTGGTTAGTGGAAAACAAAGGGACCCCAAAAAAGAAAAAAGGCAAAAAGGGGAGCTAATTCTGGGGAAGGCAAGTGCAAACATGGACCAAAACCTGCGGTTTGCCCCTCCGATCGTTTAATTTTGAGCCACACCCTGTGAACAATCCCTTCCGGAAGGACGGATTTGGCAACGCGCATGGACTCGCTGGGGCTAGGTTTGATTTGGTGTTTCCTAAGTGGCCCCTTGCAAGCCCAACGGCCATCGAATGTTTGGCCCCAGTCAACAGCGTTTGACTCGGACGCTCAAAGAGGCAGCAGAAATGTGGACCCAAATGTCCCAACCCAAACCCGTGACTGCCTTTCCTCTTGTGGCCCCAAAGAGGCTGTGGGACCAAACGTTGATTTGAACCTTTCATGGCAGCGAAGGCCGCTTTTTGCTCGCTGGCGCACATCTTGCTCCTGGCACGGAGCGGTAGGAACACACGCGCACACGAGATGTGCACTACACCTGTCCAAGGCTGAATGTATGAAACCACTGGTTCAGCTATCGTGTCCAACAATATTGATCCAGGATTAATAAACCCGTCCCACTCTTAGGGGGGTGTTCCCTCCAAAAGTGATGAATCCCCACTAAAGGGGGACACCCCCCTATTAATCAACCAGGGGTTTATTAATCCATTACGCAATGTTTCTTAGACTGTTTCTGCGTAACTCTGTCAGGGAAATGGATACGCTTGGTATGAAGCCTTTCTTCATGCAAACACGGCCCCAGGAAGAAAACTCTGAGCCATCGGTGAGCAATTCCCGCATTCAGCTGTTGTGTCGGACCAAAAATACGCCAGGCTCACTAAACTGAAGCGTTCGTGGCTCAATTTTCGTTCGTTGCGGCGCATATCGCGAATTTGTTGGGTTGCGCTTGGGAAGGGGTTGCGCTTCCTTTCTGGGGCACCTGGATCCTTTCGGCTAGGCCGGGGAGATAAATCAAGAGTCGGGTAGAACTGATAGCTGGGAATTCGGCCAGGCTAGTAAGTTGTTTGTAACCCATAGGCTACAACCCACTTGCATGGCGAGTCCAACATCCAAGTACTCTCACTTCCTGGATGATGGATCCAACCAAAGTCCAGGAACTTTTCTGATTTACCAAGTCTAGGTCTTCCAGTAGAGCAATTAGAATAAGGGTAATTAATTAGTAATTAGCAACTTTTTTATCTAGCCGATTTTTAGGGTAACCGAATCTCCCAACCAAACAAGTTGGTGAGAAAGGGCACCAATTGCTGGGGGACCGTCCATCACGTGGTCCACTTTTGATAAGTCGCAGTCCTCATCCCACGCGCAGTGGCTCACCCGCAGGGACCGCCTCTTTGAGAACGGCCTGAAGCCGGGAGTACTGTGGATAGACAAGATCCATTTCGCACCACTGTAACACCATGGACCTCCATTTGTTTAAGCCCCCTGGGAAAAAAAAGTCCAGTAGTGAGAAATTCCCTTTAAAATGGAAGTGGTTGAAACCATTGTTGCTTGTCATTTACAGGGGAATCAACATTCCAGGGTTTCTTAGGTGGTGCAGGACTTTCTCCATTCACAGTACCAGCACTGGAATTGTGCCCATTGTTTCACCACGATCAACGGCACCCACTGAAAGGTAGGGTAAAGGGATACCCCAATTTCTCACTTTGATAATCCCCAAACGGAGGGTATCGGACAGCGCTCAGTTGGGGATGTGTATGTTGCAGCCGCCCTGCGCCGGCCTGGATGGTGCAGGCGTGTGCCGGACACGGGGCCAGTTTTACTTCCACGTTGGCCTCGGATTTTTCTCGGTGGCTGACAGTCCTCTGACGCTTCCTGTGGCGGGTGGTTTTTTGGGTCCATCTTTAATGGGAAACCTTTCAAACAATTACCCGCTCATCCACTAACATAACCTGCCTGAGCGGCCTTGGAAGACAAGTTTCCTTCAAGAGAGCATCTCTGGTGGGTTCCACTAACAGTGAGACCTTTGCTGGCGGATGCCCCACACTTTGCGCCACGGCACCGCTCAAGAAGACGAGGGCATGCGTCAAGAAAGTGGACACGGATGCCGTTGGGAAATATGAGGCCAACATCACCTTCGACTTGTATGCCTAAATCGAGAAAATGAACTTTGCACGCAGTAGCAAAACCAGACACACAAAATTTACTCCCGCCATAGTTACACAGTTTTGACCAGCATCGGCTTTACTGTCTGGGGAAAAGGACACAACCTGGGCGGAGCATTTTATTGACATGGAACCCAAACAACTTCTTAGAGGATCTTTTTGTTCACCCTTTTTGGGTTCCATGTGACCCAGGAATAAAAGGTGATTCTTTGCGATGGACCTCTGGTTGGGGAGGGGGGGGGGCGGCTACGGGGCTGGCCTGAATAAGAGGTTAATAAGGGATAGCCCCCCCTCCCCCCTCCCCGTACTGTGGATGGACAAAATCTCGCACAACCTGACACACCCCGGAATGATTCGATTTGTAAATACCAACACAAGTCATGGTACCCTTCCCGTTCCATTTCCTTGTGCGACAAAAAAAACACAACCACAGTAGCCCCTCCAGAAAGAGGGTCCATGACTCAAGGGGCTTCTTTTCACCCCCCTTGGGTTCCATGTGACCCAGAAACCAAAGTTGATTCTTTGTGATGGACCCCGGGGGGGTAGCCCCGAAAGAGGTCCATGCGGCACCCTGCCTCCGCATGAGCATTGGCGGCTCTCAGTCGGGCAAACTTCGGGTAGTAGCCGATGCCCACCTCTGAGCGACCGACCCGGCATGCGGCAAGCATCCGCAGGAGGGAAATCTGCGCTTCTCTTGTGTTTCGTTTCGCAAGCAACGACCTGGAGTCTCCTTCTGACCCTTAAAGAATGGGTCAATGACCCCATTTGTTTTGGCTAACGACACCAATTTTTAAGGGTCGGAGACTCCAGGTAGTGCAATATATGTTCTTCACTAGACCCAGTCCCCTAAAAGAAGTACAGCTAATTGGCTGAGTTGGACAATGACGGACACAACGAGCTGTCCGTTTTCACAAAAGAAAACAACACATGCTGTTTCTTCAAGAGTATAAGTACCTTAGATCTTGCAGAGTGTAAGTACGATACCAGGCTGGAAATAGGACCCCAGCAAAACAAACTATCTTTTTTGCCTGGTTAGTCGCAAACAAAGGGACCCCAAAAAAGCAAAAAAGTAAAAGGGGGAACTAATTCTGGGGAAGGATAGATCAGTCTTCAGAATCCCAACCCCCAACTCCCAAAGCAAACCTTTTCCGAATAGATAGTCCGCGCACCGAAGTCCCAACCACGTGCACATGATACCTGGCTTGCAACGGGTTTCTCGGACGCATCGGCTTGGCCCCTACGCTACCCATGAAGCAAAGGCCATAGCACTTGGATGTTTCACCGGCCTCAGGGAAGGCCATGACCATGCCATGCCATGTTCCGGATATTTTTTAGGTCACCGAGGGAACTGCCCTTTCGAAAGGAACATGACGGAGGGTTACCTACTATGGTGGAACTGGGACCAACTGGGATGACAATCTGCTTACGTAGCTTGAACACCCAAGTAAAAGAGCTGGCCGGAACGGAGGAGGTGGATGGAGCGCATCTTGGTGCAAATGACAAATAGCATGCTCCCTCTTGCCCAAGGATCCAGAACTAAATGGTTGACCTTCTAGGGAAACCCGCAACCAAAAATGGTTGCCAACATGGGAAACCCACGATGTCAGATCTGTTCCGGTTTAGACAAACAGCATGCTGACACTCGGCACGAAACAACGCTGCATGGGTGCTTGGAAACCTGTCTGTTTGCCACGTTGCTTGGAAGCATCGCTCACCTGTCCCGAAAAGCCGGCCCACCCCCAACCAAGAACATGCCCATATTTGACTTCAAGAACAACTGGTTGTATCAAAAAAGAGGGGGTCCCTCAAAAGTTGGCTTCCCTTTTGGTGTCCCTTTAAGCTAATTCAGGTGAAAAGGGAACGACCTCGGACACCGGACCTTCAGCCTGGCTACCGGCGAGGCATTTGTCGCATGCTCGATGCGGCCCCGGATGACTGCTGCGAGGATTTCCTCGGCACCTCGGGATTCAGGACCCAAAGGGTTCGAGGGCCTCGTCTAGGAACGGTTTGGATGCGGTTCTTGTGGATCCACCCCTGTAGCATAGCAAAAGAGTACTAGAAGAGCATGAAAAGAGAAGCAACTGGCAAGACATGGAGAAACCACAGAAAGCGTGTGCAATCCGTTTGCCGGATGTGGGGCCACTAAAATGGCTGACAAAAAGCGAACACTAAAGGGCGAAAATCTCGATTCGGCGGAAAGTGAGGCCGGGTTGGGCATGGTTTGCCGACCTTTGCGCCGGCACAAAGGAGCCGGTGGCTCAAACGAGCCCGAACTTTGATGCAACCAACCACCTCAAACACGCGTCTCGAGTGGTTGGCCGAAGCGAGGTCCAACCCGCGATTCATCCTGGGCCATGGCTTGCCTGTGGCCAGGTCTGAAGTCAACAAAGGGGCCTTGAAGGGCAAGGAAAGGGTCTGGCAATGACTCATGCTCCAAGCTCCCCGCGTTTAATGGAAAAGTTCAGACCTTGCAGTGGAAACACCATAATTGGATTTTGCAAGGTCTAAGGTCCTGCTTGCGATCTGCACGCTCCGAAGTGACACCTACAAACGAAGATGTCCCGATCGGGGCTCGGATGATTTGGTCACAACGCCGTCGCCCCAACGCAGTGCAAGCAAGGCGCGCCGGTCACTCCAGCGAACCGCTGAGCAGAAGTGAGCCACCTGCACGCGAAATCCTGTAGAAGTGGCTAAACTTTCCAATCTCGGTTGCTTTCTGCTCCCCTGCTAAAAGTTAAACTTTCAGTGGTTTAATGGAAAACCTATTGGTTGGCAAAAAGTTAAAGTCCTAACATCCACGCAAAATGCACCAAAGCAATTATTTGACCCCTGGGGGAAGTGATTGGGGTTAATGAGAACCACTTACTGGGCTGCCCTTAAATCCCCCGAGTTTAACTTTTGGTGGGTTTAATGGAAAGTACCAGCACACGCTAACCGGCTAAAAAGCTAAGGGGATGGCTGGGAGCCACCAAGCTTAGACTGAGGCAATGGCCAACAAGGGACGCACAAGGGCCCCCAGAAGGCGGAAATAAGTCTTCCAAGGGCCTTGCGGGCGCTTCGTGACAGGCGGCAAAGGAACACGGCAAGCCAAACATGCCAACCAAACCTCATTCTCGGCCCCGTCCCCAATTGCCCAGTGATGGGGAGGACCACATCTTTTAAGAGGTGGGGACGCCAATTCTTGTTTGTTGGGAAAAAGGAACCTGCACCATTTGTTTAATAGGAAAATGGGCACGTCAAACAGCACGACGCAAAGTTGTCATTTCTCGCCCGATCTGCCTGGCCTTCTGCACGGCTTGCGCAGATCTTACCGCTTCTGTGGGCACCTGCCAAGCAGCCGAAGCAAGTCTGGAGTCTGGACTCGGTTTTGTTTCGTTGCGTGCAACTCTTGTCTACACACGGCTGTGGGGAATGACCACTTCTGTGATACAACAGAAAGGGCTTCCCAAAGACTGTTTTCTTCATATCAAGGGGGATTCCCTTGTATCACAGAAGTGGGGAGAAACCCCTTGATCCCACAACCCTGTGTCTACACCACCTGGTCTGCCGCCTCAACGCGGCCGGCAACCCGGGAACTTCCGGGAACCCCCGCAGCAGCCACGGCCGCCAGGGACTCCGCCGGCAAGTGGCCCTCCTCCCAGCGGCGCAGCACCTGGGCGCGGGGGCTAGGTCCAGTCGAGAGGTTGGAATAAGTTGGTACCCTTGTTTCTGTAGCCTATTTTAGTAGGGGAACCCTCCCCCCAAAAAAGGGGTAAAAGGGCATTACTGGGGGACCTAGAAATGGCATGTTCCCCAATTCTTGCGTCTTCCGTGAAGAGGCGAATTGTTGCTCCCTGCAGGCCTTTTCCGTGTTATGCTCTGAAGCTTTACCGCTCAAATCAGGACATACGATGAATGGATTAAAACCGTTTCGCACCGCTTAAGAGACCCTGGAATGGTTCGATTCCCCTGGCAACCGTTTCGCCACAGCATTTGAGGCTTTTGCCCAACTCCTCGCCAGTGACCCAAGGTAAAGGGAGGCTGCCACTAACACCCACGGGGACCCAGATTTGTTTGCAACCCAGGCCAGGGCTCCAAGCAACCAACAAACATACCATCGGCCCCCGAACTGTTCATTCGCAACCCATGACACCTTGCCGCGAAAAGGAACAACAACAGGTTTTGCTAGGTCCTCCAGTAGAGAGGTTAGAATAAGTTGGTACCAACTTTTTTCTGTAGTCCATTTTTTAGTAGGGGACCCGAATCTCCCAACCAAAAAAGCAACGGCAAAAGAGCGGGCACCACTTGCTGGGGGACCGACCCCTCCCGTGCGCTCGACTCGTCGAGCGCAGAAGTTGGGGGCCCCGGACATCCAGAGCGACCAGGGTGAAAGCTCCTTGGCTAAGCCGAGCTCCGGGCTCGGCCCCGAATGAGAATCTTCCGGCTGACTTGTTGCTGGAAAAATCGGACCCCAGCAAAAAAAAAGAGTGTTTTTTTTGTTTTTGCCTGGGTAGTGGCAACAAAGGTGACCCCAAAAAAGCAAGAAAAGCAAAAGGGGGAACTAATTCCGGATGACTTGTTGGCGACCACTCTCATTTGATGGACAAAATGTTCATGGGAGTTTGTGTAGGAGGACGTTCAACAGGAGCCCTTGTTGGTTGAAGAGAAGCCAAAAGGAGAACAAGGGTTTTTCCTGTATTTGGAGCTGATTCATGGGAATCGGATGTTTTTTTAGGGGACGTGGGGACGTGGCCTTCCAACTTGTTGAGAAGCACCCAAATCAATTCACCACCCGCTTTGGTCTTCGTCAGAGGGAATACGAACTGGGAAACCTCCCTCGAGGAAAAGAGGTCTGGGCTTTGGGAGGCCCAAAGTCGTGACACTCAGCTTCTTGCTGACTTTCATCTTGTAAAATCCATTTGTTATATCCAGTTGCTTGATCAATAAAAAACATGTCATTTTGTTACATCCACTTGCTAAGTTGAGTACGGAATATATTATATTGCTTCACCTGAACTTCCATTTGCTTAAATCCACAAAAAACATGTCCCGTAGTGATAGGCTCCTTTCAAAACCATCAGGGGAGTTTAAACAATTCCTTCAGCAAATGGAAGTTCTGGTGAATGAACAATGGCACACTGTTCTCACTTGCCCAAAGGACCCAGAAATAAAAGGTTAACCTTTTGGCAGCTCCACTAAAAATGGACCAAAACAGGAAAACCAAAAGGTCAAAAGGTCGGCTTTGGGCAACTGAGTGTTGCGGGTCAGCATTGTGCGTCCCGTGCGGGCCGCCGATGGCGTGCCAATACAAGCACGATGTTGTCGGAGTGCGGTTGATCAAAACAAAGGCAGAATCCTGAAAATAGTCTGGGCGACCCTTTCTTGGCTGCACCTTGTTATGGAACCTGGCAGAAGGTTCTGCCCTGAGAGTATGTGTCTACCAGGGGCTTCCCATAAAACCATGCTAGGATCCAAACCCCTCCTCTATTTCCTCAAATTGTCAAACAAAGGCCTCACTACGAAAGCATCGCGAGGTGAGCTTCTGGGTGGGAGGCACTGCGACATGTTTAAGGGGTAGCTCGCCTTGGCAGATTTCTAAGCCTGCTGTCAGGGTTTCAAACATGTCCGGCAAACAGCAGTGGGAATCAGTAAAGGGCCTTCTGGGTAGCACATGACGCCATCGCCCGCGACAGCACCAGTAACGTGTTGCTCAGTGTAATGGCTCAGTTGCACTTGTTTTCCCTTACCTATACCCTGCTGAAAGGCGAAGCCACACATGTTCATTCTGGAGAATGTCAAGAGCATCTAGGTCCTCCAGTAGAGAGGTTACTTTTTTCTTCTGCAGTTTATCTTAGTAGGGGAACCGAATCTCCCAACCAAAAACGGGGTGAGACAGGGCACCTAGCTGGGGGACCTAGACATGGTAACAAAGCACACCCTTCTTCCCTTTAGTTTGCTGTTTCTTGGCTCCAACAAATTCGCGGCTCCCAAAAAATCCGCATTCCGCCGGCTCCAAAAAATTCGCGGCGCGTCGCTTCCTCGTGTTGCTTGCTTGCGGCCCGGCTTCCGACGTGGCCCTGGGTGATCTTGAGCTCTGGGCCTCCGAAACCCGCGGACGGAACCAGCCCAACTTGTGGGCCCAGCCCAAACTATGGGGTGCACCAACCACAAAAAGGTCGGAGTCATTGGGAAATAATAGGGTACGCCAATCAGAAAAAAACAACAACATGTGTGTGACTGTGTGTTTTTGTTGTTGGGGAAATTAATGGGGTACACCAATCGGAAAGTATCGGTTGAACAGCTTTTTGAAGAATTGTGAATTTCAAGCCATGTCACTCCACATTGTGCTGCAACATATTCAAGACCAGGAATCCCAGCACCAGCGAACAGTTCAGGAACTCGGGGAGTTGCAAGAGATCCCGAGGAAGATCTGTTTCTGTCCAATAAGGGATCCCCAAACGAGCCACATTGGGCGAAGCAATAAATTTGGATGAGAAGGCGTGTTCACCCTAGGACTAACGACCTAGTCAATCAATAAGGGGGTGTTCCTCTTGGTGGGGATTCCTCACTTTTCTGGGATGAGTGTGCCCCATGTCAAGCCATTACAGCAGATTCGGTGAATTTCTCCTGAGTGGATTGGCCTTTACTAAAATCTTGGTTGACGTTGGAAGGGGAGCAACAAAAAATGTTTTAGCAGTTAAGTGGGGATTTCCCACTAAACCACACTAAGCAAAAATGCAAAATGTTTCCCAACAACAGCCATGAAATGGTCCAAGCCCAAAAAAAATAAGTCCATGAACTGGTAACTCGGGAGGTGTGATATTGACTTGCTGCGCCGAGAGGCACATGCGACACGTGCAGGATCCGCAGAGGCTCGCCTCCAAAGGGCTTGATCAAGATCTTCCGTTTAGGGGCCCCAAATGACCAAGTGGAACTGGGCCCATTTGCTGGGAACTAGCATCTTTTAGTGGATTTTTGATGGGTCATCCCATGTAAAGAAGCTTTTGATCAACCCCCACTGCCGAAGACTCCCCACTGAAACATGCTTGGCTTCTTGAGGGTCTGACTGCATACAAGAACCTCAGCTAGCTACTTGGCAATCTGTCATATCCGAACAGCAGGCGGTCAGCATGGTTTGAACCGCTCCGGTGCATTTGAGCTTCCCCCCGCTCCGAAAACACCCGGCCTTTACGGCAAAAACAGAAAAACAGGCTGAGGTCAAACTGGGCCGACTGTGCCCGGCGATGCTTGGTTTGCCAATGATCTGCCCAGCAAAAGTTTCAAGTCAGAAGTTGTTTGGAGCCAGGCCTCTGACGTCCTCAAAGCTTCCCTGGCCACAAGGGACCCAGAAAGTCTGAGACTTGGACCCAAACCGGACTCTGATATGCACCGATTTAAACAACGGCGGGCCACCACGGAGACAACCTCATTAGGTTCATATCAAGTGGGTCCGACTTTCCGCGTCCAAGTTTGGTGTCCACTTTTGGCAGGGTTCCAGAAGAAAACCACCAAACAACTACACTAGAGTCCATTAGCTGATTCAGGTGGTCTCTTCACTGGCCCAAGCGTATCCTTTAAGTGACCCAGTTTGAGGACTTTACTTGCGGGTTCTCGAAGAATGAGAAGGTCCCTTTAAACGATCCTCAGACATTTTCTCAGTTTCATTCCCGAACCCCCGAACTCCGGCTGAGCTGATTGGCCGGAAACAAATCATCAAAACTGTTTGAATGATGAGGACACCTGCCAAAAAGTCTACACAGTTTCTTAACTCAACAGCTGGGCGTGTCGTTTCTGAAGGAATCGACCCCCCCCAAATTGGGTTTTCAGGAATCGACACCCCCAAAAAAAAAAAGAAAGAAAGAAAGGAACACCATTTCAAACAGACCATCAAACAAAAACAACGACGAGCCAGCCAGGTAAGGCCCGGGAGGCATGGGTGGCCTCCGGCCAACCCGGCCTGGCCACACACCGTGCAGAGTTTGACGCCCGGATGCCCGCAGGTGCAAAGGCTCGAGCGCCTGGCGTCGAACGCCAGGCAGTCCCTACGCTGAGTTCTTAAATGAGGTGTGTGCTTTAATCCTTTGAGGGAAGCCCCCTTTTTGGTGGGTCTTCAAAAAATACCAAAAGGAGAAAATCAACTATCCCTAAAAAAAAGACAGACCGATATGTGCAAGTGGTAGTTCATATTTAGCCCCTAGCCAACCCTGAAGTATCAAATCCCTGCAAATTGACGGAAGGAACCCAAAAAGGGGATCCAATCCATGAAGGAGTTTCCTCTAGAAAAGATCTTGCTTTCGTTGGAGGTCGAGACCTCAGGTTCAACCAAAGGGCCAAAGGGCCAGCAAAGCACCAGGGAAGCACCCAGGTCAAGCTTAAGGTTTCGGGGCGTTTTGTCGGGGTTGATTTGTTTCGGTCTGGCCGCTTGCGCTTGCGGGCCCCCAATCCAAGTCTGACCTGACCCAATCCACAAAAGTAGCCTTGGTCGCCCCGGCAATGTTGACCATTACTCTGACGGGGAGGATCGATCCCTTCTGAAACGGACCGCACCTAGCTTTTAGCAACCAACGGTTTGGATATCCAAACCTGGGTCGCCCTTGCACAAAACCTGGCAGAATCCGGCTCAAAGCACTGATAAATCGGGCTTCATGGGCACCCAAACACGGAAGACAGCTTCAACATCCCCTTCAAGCGATCCCTTCCGCGTTTGGGCTTCAACACCGGGCTTCCCTTCTAAGCGATCCCTTCAACACTCCCCTGCCATCGGGGATGGATCCATCGGATCCCCGCGCATCAATTCGCGCTTATAAATTCGGTTTGGGTCGACCTCTGAAAAGGGAAGTGGTCGAGTCGCCTCAGAATTACCCAACCCAACATCTGTGATTTTAAATGCCAGCCACAAGTAACGCCAATCACTTGGTTATGCTTTTTCATTGGGGGAACCTTTTGGTGGACATGATTTAGGTGGGGATCCATGTCCACCAACCGCATTTGAGGTGGTTCCCCATGAGAATTCAGTTCCCCATGTTGAGGAGTGTCTTAAGATAAACCCCAAACATGGGCCTTTGGTTCCCAAAAAACAATCAAACAAAGGCTGGCACCGAACAAGCAAAAACCGGGGGGGGGGACCCATATTTCATCTTATGGTAAATGCCAGAGGCTGGTTTATACACAGATCCCGGCATTCATCGTATTGTCCGATACGTTCTTGTCTCACTTGAGTGGATAGGCCAAAAACAGTCCAGAGTCCAAACTTTTTCGTTACCACAATGGCAACCAGACCCCAAAAGTGACTAGAAACTCCGTTTCTGAATCCTAGGGAGTGAGATTCAAGACATCTTCCTGAAAGTCCTACACCTCTTGCCGGGCTCAAGTTTATGACTAGGTCCTCCAGATTGGAGAGGTTAGAATAAGTTGGTACCGTTTCTTTTTTCCTTTCTTTTTTCCGTAGTCTCTTCTAGGGCAACCCTCCCCCCAAAAAGAGGGGTGAGAGGTCGGGCACCAAGCTGGGGGGACCTGTTTCTGAGGTCCCTCCAGCATCGGCTGGGCCCAGCGCCGAGTCGCCTGGCGGGGGCGGGTTGCCAGGCCAGGGGCGGCTCCTCGAAGAGCACCGCGCCTTTGGCCAGGTCCTCCGCCGCCACCAACACCTGGCGCTGGGAAAGGTCACAAGTGGCACCGCTCAGGTGAAACCAGCTCAAGCTTCAACAAAATCGGTTTGGCTGTTTAGCTCTTGTTGGGCGTTTAAGTCTTGCTCTGGCTTTCAAAGTCCAATTGAAACTCAAATGTGTGAAGTCCATGTCTGTGGTCTTTGAGGCCATTCGAGGGTATAAATGCTTTCAACTACTCTCAATCTGCCTGTTCGAAGCTGCTGTGGCGTTTTCTTAGCCGTGATTGCCGAGCGACCAATGAAAAAGAACAAACTGGGGCATTTCCCGTTGATGAGTGCAAAGATGTGAGCCCCATGTTTGGTAAGGCTGTACTACAATTGAGTGGTTTCATCCAAAGCATGTTGGCTTACATCATCAGCTGAGGCCTTTTTGTTGTGCCAAACTTGGTCATCATCATCTAAGTACTTGTTCTAAACGAGCATGTCGATTCACAATCCCTATGAAAGCTGAGCCGCGTTGACTCAACCTTTCTTGGAATGGCTATGATGGCTTCTCCCTGAAGGGGACTTGAATGGACTCAACGCCACTTAAATGCAGTGAAATGCCCTTAAGTGCTTTCAACAAGCCAAACAAATCGCCACACAAAAAAGAAAACATTAAAACACCAAACACTGGGGCAATCAACTGTGGAAACACATAAGCAGAGGTTGCAAAATGATCACACATCACACATCTCCCCGATGCGAGGTTCAGTTTCCAACAGTTGCGTTCCAAGTTCTGAAGCCCCAGCGGGTACAAACAGCTCCAGCAAACTGGGTGCTTATCATTGCGGAAGTAAGGAGCCCTAGAAACCCCTGACATTGATTACCTGTTGCGATGCGTTTTGGTTCACCTGGCTGTGGCATAGCTATTTAGACACAAGGTCTTCAACCCACTCCTTTCTATGGCCCAAACATAGTCCAAACTCTACATTTACCACTAGAATGGTCTTCCCAAAAAGTTTAAAGTTCATGAACTCAGGAAGCGAGGAATTGCAGGCTTTTGCTCAAAACCTTCCAGGTAACACCTTGTCACACATGTTTCAAAGCAAGCTGGTTCCCTCACATGTCCGCAAATACCGTTCCAAGCGTGTTTCACCTGAAGGGGGGCTGAGAAAAACCCGAGTTGGTGCTGTTTTTTGGTGAGCGTGTCTGAGGCAAGGCATGTCCAGGTGGTGGAGGTGGGACTCCAAGGCAGGGCATGTTCAGCTTCCATTGGCTTAAGGCCCCTGAAAAAAAAACTTGAAATTCAACAGCGGCAAGCAAATGGAAGCCAGCTAGAGATGGGTTGCTCGTCCTTTCTGGAGTTGGTACCCCTTTTTGTTGTTGGTGTCGATTGAAGGGGGCGGCTGGATGGTTTTCGCTTCTTCTTTTCTGTTGTTTGGGGGGAGGGGCACTTGGGCATGTGTTTGTTGAAGGGTACCGAATTCTCTTGGGGTTGGTTAAAAGGGACACGTTCCCTCTTTTGACACATCAACCTTTCTTTTTGACTCAAGCAAGTCTTAAGCAAGTCGCCGCCCTTTCTGGGATACCAAAGTGGGCCATCCGCAAGACGACATTATCACATGCGGGGGTTTCCTCTCTCGCAATTTTAGCAGTGGGGCCAAAGGGAGAAGACCCACGTTTTCCTTTCTGAATGGGTTGGTTCACATCACTTGCTTGCCAAAACGGTCTTGCACGACCCTGTGCAAACTAGGTTTGGAAACGCGATAAAACACATCCTCTTTTGGCGTGGGCAAGTTGTTAGCTATGGCTAGAAGAGCCCCCCAAAGTCCAGACATTTGGTCACTTGGGACGGTCTCCCCGGAACAAACAACACCTCACAAGGGTACCCGAGCAAAACAAAAAAACACCTTTTGGCATCCCTCTTGGCAAGTTAAATATGCAAGTTGCTAAAAAAGCTCGTCTCCCCTCCCACTGGTTGCGCGGGCTGCACTTGGGTCCGAGGCTGCCGCCCCATCTGCGCGGCTCTTCAGCAGGGCGGGCTCGATCTGAGAGGTTTGGAGGTGCCCCTCCTATGGTTGCCCTAGAATACGGGCCGCTGCCTAATCGGAGCTAACCGGGTTCCTTTTCAAAACCATTTCCAGGTTGGAGGGGCCCCTGACAACCATAAGATCGTCCCAACCATGTATATATGTATATATATATATGTAGATATATTCAAAAAAGGCTAAATCCACTGGAAATACCAGTTAATTCTGCAAACAGGTAGTTTTTTTTGGGGGTACCATATATACATACATATATATATATATATATGTATAAATATACATGCATATGCCCCAGGTGCCTGCTTCAGAGGTGGGGCCACGGGTTCTCGGCCCGCCTGGGTCAGCGGTGTGAGCGGCGCCGGCGGCGTCCAACGAGAGCTGCACACGGCGCGATGTCGCCGCCAGTGACGTCCTAACGAGCAAAGCAAACATACGGTGGATGTCCTAAGTGTAGGGAGCCCTTTCAATGAAACACAAGCCTAATGAGGGTCATTCCCAGATCCCTTCCTGCGAAATAAGATTTGGCTGTCTTGTTTGAGGGTACCTCCATAATCCCCAGATTAGTGCCCAAAAGGCTTGAAACTCCTACCTGGGGCGAAAAAGCAAATGGAGGTCTTGGGGGAGTTTATAGAGGTATATACTTGCAAGCTTACAGTGTGTTTTTGGTGTGATGTCTTTTGTTAAGGGGCCCCGTTTTGGGTGGGAAGTCTTCTGAAGGGAAGCTCAGGGGAAAACCACCATAGCATTACCTATTTGAAGACACACCATGTGGACTTGCTTTAAACGTTAAATCACGTTTGATCCGCAACTTAGCACAAATTCTCAAACTTAATACAATCGTAGATTACACACACATATCTAAATATATATATATATATATGCATATTGCGTTCCGAGTAGAATTTCTTTCGGAGGGCAACCGCAATTACATTGCGCGTCTCGCTTTGTTTCCAGACCCTCACTTTTTGACGCAACTTGGAAGCCATGTTTGTCCATGTCACCCAGGTGGTTTTCCACATAGTCCACCCCATATCCCCGCGTACTTGCAACAAAATCCTGCTGAATGAGCTACAAGAGAGTTGCAGAGGCGGCTGTAGGGCAATGAATCTTGCGGTTCCCAGCCGTCCGTTTAGGTTTTAGGGTTTAGTGGGGGCTTCCTTGTAGCAGGGAATCAGTTTGGACAGATCAGGCATTGCTGTGTAACTACCCGACTTCGTTTCACGGCTGGGGTGGAGGCGGAAAGAGGGAAGGAGCCCCCCGCAGACATTGTCATTTCGGTGCATGTGGGACGCTTGGAACTTGTTTGCGGATGATTTGGTTGGGGAAGAGTGATACGATTGCAACCTTCCTCCCCTAAACACCCCCCGCCCACCCCCGTCTTCTCAAAATATGGCTCTAACGTGCGGCCGTCAGATCCTATGAGACCCCTCGTTTGACTGAAAGGCCTTTGAGGTGCTCATGTTTTGTATCCAATCAGCCCAACAGGGCAAAGAAAATTCAGACTTACACTTGGTTTGCGACCAGACACTTCTGATGAGGAGCTGTTTGCAGTAAGCCTCCCTAGAAAATAGAACATATTTCCAGTAGTGACAAATCCCCCTGAAAACCAACAGGGGCGCATAAACCATATGGCTATGGGGTCAAAAGCCCGTACCCCCAGTGAACATCCCAATCCCCACTAAAATAGACTAAAACGAGTGGTGCACCCACCTTGAAATGGTACCACTGGTTTTGACCCACAGCCATATTCCTTTGAGAAGATTGTCTTCCAAACCTTGAAAGAAAATGGACAATTGACCCCGAAAATTGTCTGGTTTTGACAACCACGGCCCCTTTCAGAAAATGGAAGAAACCTACCCTGACCTACCATTTCAAGGACTGGTTTTGACCCACAGCCATATTCCTGAGAAATTGAAAAAGCCCTCTTTTTTTTTTGCCAGGGCATCCTTTCGGCTTCAGCCCAGAAGAAACTTGACATGGTCAAGCAGAAACGACATGAGGGCTTCTTCCGAAACTTTTTTTCCGGGGTCAAGTTGAAGCCCCGGGCTCTGTGAGCCCCGGCTGGCGCAGGCATCGCTGCAGTAACGCACCTGCGATCCGCCCGTTTAACGACCCCGTCGCGCGGGAGAAACACGGGGGGGGGGGGGGGTCTGTTTGTCTCACTTTCCCCCAAAGGGGCTCAGAAATACACGGGAAACCCGGGAGAAAAATCCGAACCCAAATCGGAAAAAACCTGAAACGGTCGATTCTCTTTGGGCTTTGGGCAACTGAATTGAATGTTGTTTGACTGTTAAAGGGAAGCTTCTCCAAGAAATAGTGAACAGGAAGGTACATGTTGCGGGGGTAACTTCAATTTCAACTGAAGCTGGTTCGATAGGTTGGGAAACGGAAGATCCTCTAAGCGGGCATTCCCATGAGGAAACAAAAGCACACAACACCTCTTGCATGCATCGAACAGGCGGCCGCAAGTTTGGCATTGGCCATGCCAAGTGGTTGTCCTTAACCCTGGGTATGGGCTTGCAAACAACTGCCTGTTTTTGCAGCCCTTTGCGAACAATGAACCCCGAACCAAGAAACAAAAAACATGAAATGAAACACCCATGTTAATCTACAGACCTGAGCCTTTCACTGAGAACACGGGCTTTGACCCAGCCGGGCATTGGTTTCCCGCCAGCCCCGCAATCGCGCGCTACTGCGCGCTACAACGCTACTTTGCGCTTTGCGCGGCCCAAGGCGCGCGACTGCCAGCTCTCTCCGTCGCGTCCGGGTCCCGAGAGCGAGTGAGCGGCTCGAGGGATCTGTCTACTTGGATACTTTCAAAGGTTACACAAGCAGCACCTGTGCTCACATACCAACTTCTTTCAGGGGAGAAGCACAACAATGTTATGTCGCCGAGAAAAAGATGCTGCAAAATCTTGAAGACTTGTCACGACTTTTGATTACATAGCACCTGTGCCACCTGTTGTGGAAGAAAAGGCAACAACTCCCCTGGCAACTGCTGGGTCCACATGCCGCATGCCGTTCGCTGAAGCCTCACGCCCGGGCCCGGGATCGGCGACCGGCCGGCGCCGAGTCCCACTCACTGATGCCCTTCTCGGCCTGACAGGAGAGATCTGACGTTCAGGGCTCCCCTTTAAAAGGAACACGGTCCAAACTTCCAACCCCCCCCGCCCCCCAAACGTAAATGGCTCCAGGTAGAATGGGGCAATGGGGGACTTTGAAACCAAAGTTGAATCATGGAGCAATCATGCATTTCGCACCTTACATTCGAGTCTGGGCTTCCCTCAGGTCCGCTAAAGGTGACTCACTTTTAGTGGGTTGAATGATGGAAACTACCACTAAACACTAAAAGGCTAAAAAGCTAAGGGGATGGCTGGGAGCCACCAAGGAGTCAGTTACATAAAACGCCTTCTGGGTTCATGAAATGGGGTCTCTGACCCCGATTCACAACTGGATCTAGGCTAATTAACACGCTGAGGTGCCTGTTGAAAGATGAGTCAATCAGAAACTAGTGGCAGGAAATGTTCATGGGGAACCTATGAAAGTGCTGGTGGACATGTGTCCCAACCTATATAAATGAAGGATGGTAGACCGTGCGAAGAATCCGCACCAATTTATGGTTGGCACTCCCTTACTTAGTTCACTCAACTGGTGGCAGCTTCTCTGATCCTGGGAGTGCAATGTGTCCATTGGTCGACAGCTATGGGCTCATTTGAATGCATCACAACAATCCTCATTCAACAGTGCGGTCTTGCATATTATTGCCCATCCCATCTCTACTCTTGGTATGGTAGCAAACAACTTTGTTTTTTGCAGACCCCCAGTAAAAATGAACAGAACCAAAAAACTAAAAAACCAAAAAACATGCCAAGAACGGTGAAGATCCCCTGCTGGCTTCTTTTTGTGTAGATGCAACTCGCATATTCAGATAGCACCCAGCAAAAGGCGCCCTCAAAAATGAGACCCAGGACCCCTCTCATTGATACCCGAAGAAATTTCTTGTTTGCACTTGAGTCGTTGGGCGTCCAGGTGCTGCCTGATTTCTATGTTTGCCCAAAACGCGCCGCAGTCCTCCACCAGTGTGCTCAAGCTTGTTTTCATTGGGCCTCTAGCTTCCTCTTGCTACATCCAAGCGCTCAAGGGACTTCGCCTGGGCGGTGCCCAAAGATGAGAGCCTTTGCGCTCCGACAACGGCAGCCGTACACCACGAGAATCGCCAGCCCCAGGATTGCGGCGTGCGCAACGTTGGCCACAGCCAGTGTATCATAGATCACGAATTCCACGCTGTCCCAGTTGCCCGTCTTAGTCTCTGGATTGAGGTGGCTGACCATCACATACAAGAGCACGTAGAGGCCCTGCATGAGGCCGTAGAATACCGCCGCCGCGACGCAAACCAGCATGTTGGTGAACAGCTCCCCGTAGCAGGTCTGGCGCGGAGCCCGGAGCAAATAGGCGAGCCACATGGCGAAATGGATGAGAAGCGGCAGGCCAGCTAGCCACCAGGAGATCAGCCAGCTGAACTGACGATGAAAATTGGACAGGACATCAGGCAAAGACAAGTCCGCGTGGAAAAGGATTAAACGAGGCAACATTCCCCACATCACAGGCGCGCAGGCCCCAAGCATCCAGGAGTAGGGCAGGGCAAAGGGCCCCAATTGGCCTTTGAGGGACGGCAAGACCTGGGACCGCACGTTGCGCTCGAAGGAATTCACCGAGCCGAACCACTCGCAGATGCACAGCTCCAAGATGATGCGGTCGCATGGAATACGCGCGCCTGTCGCATTCTTGTGGTCCAAGGAGCAGCAGCTGCACTTGGCCTCCTTTAGTTCAAAGCCGAGCAGCCGCCTCTCCATGCACTCCACGCACCAGTGGTACGCCCGGAAGCTGCGGGCCGAGTAACTGCCGGCGGTGACGCCCAGCAAACAAACCACCAAAGACCGGGCCGCAAGGGCTTCAACTTGCATCATGCCTCACTTGGCAGGACTTGGAAAAAAGGTGATCACCTGTTGAAACTTAAATGAGCATGTCATTTTTGAGGCTGCTTGTTTGCGGGTCGCTTTCCAAGGGAAACGTAGGGAAACCACCTGTTTCGAGGGGATTTTGAGACACCGACAGTTGCCAAATCAGGGAAACTGAAAGGTCGATTGCTTTAGGCTGTGCGATGCCTTCGGCATAAACGGCAGCGCTCTGATAAGCTCCGATAACTGCAGCCTCCAGTGCTGTGAGGAGCAAAGTGCCCCACACGGCACCGCTAAGCAGGAGCACCGCAGGGCCCAGAGCTGTGGGGCGCACCACCAGCTTCAGATCTTCCCTGCTCGTGAGGAACGCGGCCAGCTCAAACAAACACCAAAGCCTTTCCTGGGCTGTTCGTTTTCTGATCCGCTAAAAGTGAACCACTTGCGGATTAAATGGCAACAACCACTAAACCAACTAAAATCAACTAAACTCAACTAAACCTGAAGACGGGTGGCCCGAGAACATTTTCCATGACACGCAGCCTGAATCGGTCCAATTTTTCAACCATTCATTTCACTGTGTACTGTGTGCATGCATCTATGCACTTCACTCTGTACTTGCCCTGTGCAGGCCTCTATGCATTTCACTGTCTACTCTTTAACTGTCTTTTTCCCTGTGCATGCATCTATGCACTTCACTCTGTACTTGCCCTATGCATGCCTCTATGCATTTCACCGTCTACCTTCCCTGCGCATGCATCTACGCACTTCACCCTGTACTTGCCCTACACAATCGACTATGCATTTCACTGTCTACTTTCCCTGTGCATGCATCATTGTCTACCTTCAAATTATGCAGGCAGAGCTGCAGGGACGTACGTCGCGTACTACGTTTGTACTTAAAAGTTGCGGGGACGTACTTCGCGTGCTATTTTTTTACTCAAAAGTTGCGACTTTGCAGCCGGAGCTGCGGGGACGTACTTCGCGTACTACAACGAAGATTCACGCGAAACCATATAGCTGGAACTTCCAGCATGTTCCAGAGAAAAAACGCCGTTTCCCGAAGCAGCTATATTTATCGCCGCTTGCTAGAAAGAACGCTCTTTCGCGGAAGAAAACGCTCGCCGTGATTCCAGCTCGTGCCACCATGAGTCTCACCTACTTGTATATAAGTGCTGTTATGGAACTTGAGATGAACTTACGGACAACTTATGAAGTCTAGTTATAAGTGTACTTAGAAGTAGTTCGTAAGTAGCGTGAGTAGTTTGCTTTCTGCGGGCCCCTTTTTTTGATGCTGCGCAGGTTCACACGCTTCATCTCGTCTGAAGGCTTTTTTGGTGGACTCAAGGGATACGCTTTGTCGTTGTTCCAGAGCCATTGGCGGTGCGAAAAAGGCGAGGGACACTGACCCCCCAAAAAACAAAGACCCGCCGCGACCTTTTTGCTCAAAGCAGTCCGGCGCACAGTTAGTGCAAGCAAATCACGCGCTGACCCTCAAAGCGCCACCACTGCGGCATCAGCATGTGCTCTGTTGGCGCGGCCTCCCAGCAGAGATAGCTATCGCACTGCCAGATGCTGCTTTGCGTGCCTTGCATGCGGCCGGCGTTCTCCTCGTGCTGGCAGCGCTCGCAAACGTTGATGCGAGGCGTATCCCACGGCACCGTGTCGTTAAGCATGGCCCCAGCAGCTATAAAAGTCTAGTCGGAGAACCTACACAAAAAGCTATAGAGCCAAAAAGACAAGCAGATGCACCAAAGCCCACATTTCGCGATTGTGCTGCGTCCACTTCCTTAAAAACACAACGTTCCAGTGCCGGGAAGAGCATGCTCTGCGCGGACCCTTGAAAACAAGCAAAAATCGTAAGTAGCGTAAGTAGTTTGTAAGTCTGCTAAGTATGTTCCACATAAAACGCTTATGTCACTTATAAGTCGCGCTGTAAGTATGCTAACTGTTCAAGAACTTATGGTACTTGTGGCATTTATACCTCCTCTTGCGGGTCTTATAACTACTGTTGCGGAACTTATAAGTGCTGCTATAAGTAAGCGAGACTCATGGCAGGCAGACTCAGGCAATTACGCCGTTTCGCCGTCAAGGCACGCCGATTTGGCAGTAAATTGCTCCGTTTCAAGTTTTTC